TACACTACGGTTTTTGCAAACGAGCCGTGAAATTATATTTCCTATATCTTCTCCTCTTGAAAGTTCCGCCACGCCATATTCTCTGACCGCCGCGTGTTGTTCAAGGGCCGGATGCGCTGTATCCGGCCAACCACTGAAAATAATCCAGTGATTATTACCGACTCGCTGCCTTTTATCCTCGTAGCTTCCTTTTTTTCCCATTTTAATATGGCCTATTCATTCCTAAAAAAAAAGAAGAGAAAAAAAATCATTCAATTTTTCAGATCGTATCGTTCCGTAAACGAGAGAAGTGCTTCTAAAACACTATACGTCAAAGGAACAATAAGTCACACTCTTATCGTAACCAGCTGCACATCAAGGATCGCAAGATTCCATTCTTCACACTTCACGGAGGGAGCGCAGGAAAAGAGAGAGAGAAAAAAAGGAGATCCAAGACGCGATTGGACCACTCGAGGGGGCTAAGAGCATAACAACGCCACATACTTTGCTCGTTTTCTAACACCGCCTCTTTTCACTCTAATGACGTCTCGAGAAGGAGGTTCCAGATGTTTGTGCTTTATGAAACCAGTCGTACAAAGCCGCGTCTCTCTCTTTCTCTCTCTCTCTCTCTCTCTCTCTCTGCGAGTCTTAGCTCTGGAACACGTGGATCCTCAGACGGGGAAGGTCAACGTTAGACCAAGTGTCCCTCCTGAGCACATTCTTACCCCCTACTTCTCCGTTTCGCCCGGAGAAATCTCTCGCTTACGTCACTGTACATGTGCATATTGTGCCGGCAGGTTCTTCCAATTTGTCTTGACGTCACCAGATATCGTTCTGTCCTGACCAGCCAACACTGGAACATACTACTTGAGACTTCTCACTTATCGTTGTCCAAGTTGTTCAGATGGCTGGAACGAGATATGTATATAGGCCACGTCGAATTGGCACACTTCGACAATGATTCAGTTATAGATAAATACAATTGGACTTTGACGTGTCTTCTCTATTTATCGGGAGATTCTCGTAGAATAAAACTACGTATGATAATAGAGCTTACCTTTAAATGATATTGGATATACAGGTTGATTCATATGTCGGTGCCAAAATAGAGTGTATTCGGGAATTTAAATAGTAGGTCATCACATAAGTTTCTGTCGAATTTTATAATTTTGCTGGATATTTCCAACAAACTTTCAAATTTGATAAATTTGATTAATATAATAAAATTAAAATTTGCTAAATATAATGAATTTAAAATTTGATAAAAATGTTTAAATTTGACGAAAGAAAACTTTTCTTTTCTTTTGGTTTTTTCGCTTTCGGAATGAACTTGTGGGATCACCTAATTGATTCATATGAACTTTTCTCATCTATTTCACCTCCTGTATACGTTGTATCAATTTGACATTAATCTATCGAAACACCCTGTACGCTTAGATAAACTTTTCAAGGAAACGTTCGAATGAAGAAATGTAGTGTCCTCCTTTAATTCGCGACCGAACGCGTCTTAGAGAATAGGAAAATGGAGCGGGTCGAGGGGTCATTAGAGTTTCATGGAAAAAGCCAGAGGTGAGATCACCTCAAGGACACCTCCAAGTACGACTTTGGTGCTTCTATGTTTTTTTCTAATTTTTAAAAATTTTTTCCTCTTTTAGTAGAATCTCTTGACGAAGGTCGCGGCATTCGTAACGAGATTATTCCTTCGTTGTACAAGGTTCACTTTCCAGAGCGGGATTGAAAAGAGCATCATCCTTCTTTATGCTTCGAGAGTATGCTTCTGATCATTGAGACGATTCTGCGAGTTACAATGAACGGCCACAAATTGAGCAGATTTCTTTTCTCCCGTCGGCATTTAAAGCTTTCTACGAGAATCAAATCGTGTGCCTGCCTATTCATAAAATGTCTCTTATACATACATATCGTCGTCCGCCTGACAAAAGAGGAATGGTTTTTACCATCCATCGAGCGATCCGCCCAGGCTTTTGTGCCAGCTAGCAGGCGGATGGAAAGAGAAAGAGAAAAAACGTGAGTAACCTTCCGCAATCTCTATTCTTTTGATAGGCGAATTTTATTCCGTGCCTTTCATCTTTCGTAAATAGGCCGAATTCGCGGCGCGTCCGCCCGGTAACATTGTTGATCTACAGCGGGAAAGGTATCGAGAGATCTCCGCAAAGGTTCCCTCGGTTAATGTCAAAGGTCAGTTTTCTTCATCAGCTGCGGCAGGCACCGGTTAACTCTATAAATTTTAATATAACCGTATGCACACTACGCCATTCAGTCTGGCTAAGTGCATCTTGTTTTGCATATTGATGCAATTCCTTCTTCATTACCCTTTGCCATTTCTCTCAGTTACTCCATTTCAATTTTCTACTCAGGTTACCTGCTTCCCTCTGTTACTACTCTATCTATCTATCAATTTCTTTACGTTTACCAGTTCCTTTTCTTTTTTTGCTGCAGTCAAGGATATACGCGTGTCCTTTGCATCGTGACTAAGCTACAATTATCTATGTGCATCTCATTTTTATCTTCTCTCGGTACACGCCTTATTATCATGTGTATAAATTTGTTCAGTGTCGTTTTTCCATGAATTTCAATCTTCGTTTACACAGCGTCAGACATCGTTTTAACGTTTAAAATAACGTCTACCATTTTGGACGACTCTTGTTCGTTTATTCGCTAACCGGGGAATTCCCTGAGATGGCGAGTTTTCGAGTTCTTCCATTGTCTTGAAACGAGTATCAGCTAGGTGGTGTACGAGCGACCGGAACAGGTGGTAATCCATTTATCCTTTCGACTGGGAAAATCTTCTTCATACAACGGATTCACCGGAGCCTAGCCTCGTTGGATTATAAATTCAACAAGGAAAAAATCCGGACGAAATCTTAACGACTTATCCACTCGAAACCGCCGTCTTTTTCCGGAGAGGAAAAAAGTCGTACAAACTAACGAAGACTATTTTAAAAATTCAAATTGCCTTTGACTTTTTATACGTAAAAATTACACGTAATTTGTACAGCTAACATTATCATTTAGTAATCTATAAAACAGCGTGCAACGACCCTCTATTTTTAATCCCCCATCAGAAGATCTTTTTCTCTCTCTCTCTCTCTTTCCTTTCGCTTCTTAACGACCTCCCT